TAAAATAGTCCATGAGTTGATCTTTTTTGTCTTCATGTATACACAAACAACACTAATTCTGTTAGCTCTAAATTATATAAAATTCCAAATGATTTTTTATTTAATAAAATGTTTTGCTGAGTATTTTACATCATCATACTAATGAACATTTTGATAACTCATTTTAGAGAGAAACTGTGGCTGCTAGAATTTGAAGCATTCTTACATTTTTTTCTCAGAAAGAAAACTCCCATCAAAACTTCATGCTGTTAATGATAGACATATTGTCTGAGCATAATAATAATCTCTTAGCTGCCTTGTCATTTCTGGCTCCCAGGGTTTCCACTTTAGGATCACTGGCTACTTAAAAAGCTACATTCATGATTGCTTTCTCTACCTACATGATATGTCAAGCTTTGGGTTAGACTTTGTGGTGCCTGCTTAACCCCATCTTAAATCAGAGGGGATTATCAGTCCCTCTGGTAAGCAAACAAAGTATGAAGTTTCAGGATATGATGGCTGGGAGTATGTCATTTAGTTTAAACAATAACAACAAATACAGGAGGTTCTTGTTATATGGCATTTTTGGATGCGAGGAAAGCAGTGGACATAATATACCTTGACTTTAGCAAGGTTTTTGATACCATCTTCCATGGCCTTCTTACAAGCAAGCTGAGGAAGTATGGGTTGGATGAATGGACTGTAAGGTGGATAGAAAGCTGGCTGTATTGTTGGGCTCATTGGGTGGTAATCAATGGCTAAATGTCTAGTTGGCAGCGGGTAACAAGTGGAGTGCCCTAGTGGTCAGTCCTGGGGCCAGATTTATTTGATATCTTCATTAACAATCTGGAAGATGGGGTAGATTGCACCCTCAGCAAGTTTGTGGATGACACCAAGCTGGTGGGAGTAGTAGATATGCTGGAGGGTAGGGCTAGGATTCAGAGTGACCTAGACAAATTGGAGGACTGGGCCACAAGAAATCTCATAAGGTTTGAGAAGGACAAGTGCAAAGTCTTGCACTTGGGACAGAAGAATCGCATGCACTGCTACAGGCTGGGTACTGATTGGCTAAGCAGCAGCTCTCCAGAAAAGACCTGGGGTTGAGTCAGTAGTGTACCCTTGTTGCCAAGAAGGCTAACAGCATCCTGGGCTGCATTAGTATAAGCGTTGCCAGCAGATTGAGGGACGTAATTATTCTGCTCTATTCTGCACTGGTAAGGCCACATCTGGAGTACTGTGTCCAGTTTTGGGTCCCCCACTATAAGAAGGATGTGGACAAATTGGAGAATCCTGCGGAGGGCAACAAAAATGGTTAGGGGGCTGGGGCACATGACTTATGAGGAGAGGCTGAGGGAAGTGGGTTTATTTAGTTTAGAGAAGAGAAGACGAAGGGGTTTTGATAGCAGCCTTTATAACTACCTGAAGGGGGGTTCCACAGAGGATGGAGCTAGACTGTTCTCAGTGGTGGCAGATGACAGAACAAGGAGCAGCAAGGGAGGTTTAAGATGTATTTTAGGAAAAAAATTCTCACTAGGAGGGTGATGAAACACTGGAACAAGCTACCTAGAGAGATGGTAAAATCTCCATCCTTTGAGGTTTTTAAGGCTTGGCTCGACAAAGCTTTGGCTGGAATGATCTAGTTGGGGATGGTCCTGCTTTTAGCAGAGCATTGGACTAGATGACCTCCTGTGGTCCCTTCCAACCCTACTTTTCTATGATTCTATGAAAATAAAGTGGAAGGACAAGTAAGAAACCAACATTTTTGTTTGTTTTTTTTAAACTAGCTTAGTGTGACTAATCAGTACCTAAGGAACAGCAAGCTGGTTATGTTTGGGAAGTGTAAGAGATGCTAGAAAACGGTTGTTATCTACTTGGAGATCACTCAGGAAAATTGCTAGCTTTCTAACGATTGCTTTCTCCTTTAGAGTCAAATTTAAGCTTTCTAATAAGTGCCATTTGTATTTTTTTCTGTTGAAGCTGATGTTAGAAACAAAAATGCATTTAAAATTGGCCTCAAAAGAAAAAAGCAGACCCATTTCTTTAAGGAAGTGAATGGTTTTGAATTTCTTTAAATTCAAATGTAATTGATCAAGTAAGGAGAAGTTGTAGGGAGAAGTCAACTTAAAAAAATCTACTTTCCAGATAGCCACATTGTCACTCATGAGCAGGGATCCTGGTTTTCTCTGATTTAAAAAAAAATCTCCAATTTTCAGTTTAAAAAAAAAATTGTAACCCCAAATCCACATTTGTCCATGATTTAAATGAAACATCACTAAAATATAGATCTATATATTAGTGATGTTTCATTTTAATTGTGGATAGATGTGGATTTGGGGTTATTTTTAACCAAAAATTGGGCATTTTTTTTAAATCAGAGAAAACCAGGATTCCTCCTTATAAGAGAGCCCCAAGTGTTGACTCTGAAATGATTGTTACTGAATCATGTAAGTACCAATGTTTGTTCTTGGCAAACATTTTTAGAATTTAGATAAGTACGGAAAGTAACAATATTATGAAGAACAAAATACAACCTTGGTTTTGTCTTGGTATCTTCTTCAGGACACAGTTTATGAGGGGAAAATTATGAAACTTAAATAATTCCACAATTCTGAACTTCCCATGCTAAGTCATGGGATAAGAAATCAGGTTAATTGCCAATGATAACCTATCACCTGGTGATACATATCTGCTATAGTTGTACTTCAGTAAGGTATTTTAAGTCATATCATTTGTGTTTTAAAATATTAATTACTATTTGTGGTGATGGAGTCTGCTTGTCCCATTTTAAAGAACTGTATTGCTTTTTGCAGTGATGTTGGGGTGGGACATCACTCATAGCTATAGAGTGGTTTATGTATTAAACGGTGTATTTCAGCCCCTCTATCTGATGAATGTGTTTGTTTGTTTTTTAATTTTACTGCAACTTTTTTTGTTTTTGTTTTCTTCTTTCTCTATCTAGCTTTTAATAACCCACGAGCAGGGCAACTGAGCAGGTTATTACCAAACCAGAATTTACCGCTTGACATTACACTGCAAAGCCCAACCGGTGCAGGAAATTTCCCTCCTATAAGAAACAGTAGTCCATATTCAGTGATACCTCAGCCAGGAATGATGGGCAGTATGATTGGAAATCAAGGAGCTTTAGGAAACAACACAGGTAAAAAGTTAAATAGTGTCTTCCATGTTTGTTAGTTTTTTGTCTACGTTGTATGTGACATAATCAATGTGAGATCAGTGCAGATGCATGCACTGTTTATCTAAGTCTAATCAAACACTATTTGCACAGTAAATGTCAGCATATTTTTCTATGTAATGGGCAGTTACTTGTTAGAGCACTCATTTTGCTCCCAGACTACTTCTGAGTGTTTGTTCATTAACCAGTGTACGTCTTTCACTCATCATGAAAAAGAATTTAATGACTCAGTGGCTTTATGGTGGGTTATGGGGTTATTCACATCGCATTCCAGGTTCAAGTATGGCATAAATTTGGTTTAAAAAATGTTTTTTTCTTCAGTGTACTATGTGAAATGAGTTGGTGGTCTCAGTCCTTTCTTTTTGTAGGCACGTATATCTACTGCAAAATGGCACCTTTTGGGGCCACGAATTAAATGAGCACAGAGAATGACCTGTTTTCTCCACCATAGAAGTAGCCCCTCCAGAACAGGATTTCAGGCACACCGGTGATCTTGCTGCCCGTACTATGCATTTTCTGTGTTTAAAAAGAAAACTTCAGTCTCTAATGTTGTCAGTCAGTCTCCTTTCTTCAATATTAAAATTCACTTTAAATAATAATAAAAAGAAACAAACCTGGGGTTTGTGGATTTTAATTTCTGACGTCTGTAACACAATCTTGTTTGAAGCACTGGAAATTTGAAAGGAATTTACCTGTTTTAATTTGTCTGTTGATTGTGCCATGACAATAATGAGCTATGACTATAATAACTGATTTCTTTGTTACATTTAAAACTTACAAAGATACCAAAAAATCTACAAAGAATTATCAGAAATGTTTGTTTGAAGTATTTTATCATAATTGCTTGTGTCAGTTATTTCATATTTTAGAATGTAAAGGTATGAAATTGCAATGTGAATTTTGAATAGTGAGATGCTGTAAGCCTTGTTAAATGCCAACTGTCAATTATGTGTTTATTTTGCATCGGTATTATAAAATGGGTATTGTATTACTGAGCCACCAATTAAAGTATATGCTGCTTTTAGAGCAGTATAGAGGTTGTTTTATAGGCTCTCAGGGGAACTGCTTACCTCCATATTGTGCCATTATATCTATACCCCTGCCATTCACCTTCGTTTGCAACATCTTGTAGCTGACAGAATAGTTAGAGTAAAAAGAAAACAGGGCACATTGAAGCAAATTTTGCATTTCAGGTTGAAAGCTGGTTGCCTACAAGAGTCGGGGGAAAAAAAGATTTTTCCCTAAATATTTCTTATTGCACAGTTGTGTTTATGAATAATTATTTTTTAGCATCCCCTAAAATTAGTGTTACAAACTGATGTTACAGTATCAAATTAGTGAATCTGAACAAATCGTCCTTATGGTCCTATACTTACAAAATGGAGAAGTGTTTTGGTGCTGTCTTATTCAAGTATTATTTTAAGTTGTTATACCATAAGCTTATAAATTCCAAGTGTAAATAAATTTTATCAGTTGTTTACAGTAGATGTAGGAGGACTTCCCCTAGTATAACCGTAACGAGCTTCTACAAGAATCGGAAAGTTCCTCTGAGTAATTCCCCTTTACCTTTTATTGATTTAAGCTTGTCTGAGTAAATCTTGTAGTTAGGGGGGCTAATGACTATGAATGACAAGGATTATTTAAAGGTGTGTGTTAAATGGGAATGAATGTTTACATCTTTATATTTTATACCATGTATCCGAATAACCTGCTGTTGCTCAAATCTTCATATTCTTACCCGGCACTTGGAAAGTAAAGCGTTGACATGTATACCAGCAAACGTGATTCATTTCCTGAGGAAGGAAGTCAGGGTTATCCACACACCCTCAGCACCTGTTGCGGAGTACATATGGGAACATTTGCTCTTAACAGCTTTCAGAAATGATAAAAGGGTCACCTTCATATAAATTCTTTAATGCTTACCCTGACTGAACAACGTAATGCATGAGTCTGTAGAGTTGCACATCTGGACAATCAGTTGTGATATAGCTAGCTCCAAGTAACCCAACAAATGCCTGTGTTTTATTTTTTTAATATTAAGATTATCAGCCAATGGGAATATCTGGAGTTGTTTTCAAGTCATGTATCTGTGTCTCACTTTCTTTGGCTTTTGTACAGGAATGATTGGTGGTAATACCCCTCGGCCTGCCATGACATCTGGAGAGTGGGGAACCCCAGGTTCTGCTGTGAGGGTAACTTGTGCTGCTACAACCAATGCCATGAACAGGCCAATCCAAGGAGGCATGATACGTAACCCAACAGCCAGTATTCCTCTGAGACCCAGCAGCCAACCTGCCCCAAGACAGATGCTACAATCTCAGGTCATGAATATGGGTAAGCCCTGTTGTAGTTGTCATTTCGATTTACTGGGTTGTAGATCATGAAGTAGAAGGTGACAGCTAGCATTAGTTACAAACTTGATTAAAATTGTGTTCTGCAAGTTAGATGCTTCCCAATGAAAAAATTCCATCCAATAAGGGCACAACATGGGTGAACTGTTCATTTTTAATATTAACCATATGGCCAGATTTTGATTTTCTCCAGCTGCTCTGTAGTGTCTAGTTTCTTAAGAAATAAGGTCCTAAAAGAAAGGAGGGATTTTAAGCACTTCTTTTCTACTAGGTCAGTGGCAAAGTAAGTGTATTTGGGTATAGCTTATATATTGGATGCTTAGAGTACTTTTTATGACTATCCGGGTATCTAGACCTTGTTCACTTTTGCATTTGTTATGACAATTTAATGTAGCTCAGTTTGCAAAGTTCTTTAGATATCACAAAAATTTTACAAAGTAAGAAATCTATTGGCTAGTAATTTCTTGATGCTTTGGAACGTAACATTGTCTGACACGAAATGAAATAAAAGTCTAAATTGGTATGATAATAAAATAAGAACAAAGGTGCTTTATACAAGTCAAAAATGCCCTTTGCAGATGCACATGTTGAATGTTTGGTCACTTGTATTTGAAAGCAAGAAGTAACAGCATAGTGGTGACCTTCCACTATCATAAATGTTTTCTGATTGTTTTTCCTTGCTCAGGGCCCTCTGAATTGGAGATGAATATAGGGGGACCTCAATATAACCAACAGCCAGCCCCCCCAAATCAGACTGCACCATGGCCAGACAGCATCTTGCCTATAGATCAGGCAACTTTTAGCAATCAGAACAGGTGAGTTTTTAGTAGCAAATCTAAACATCATATTCTACAGAAAACTATTGGTCCATATAGTATGATCTTAAAGGGAAAGCAAGACTCATTTACTGTGCACATTACACATTTCCAAGGAACAGGATTGTCAGTTTTGGCTTGTTAAAAATGAATGCGCCTACCAACACACATTAGTGACTCAGAGTTGCTTCCAGTCACTGTTTTGCTGATTCAGGCCTTGTATGCACTAGGATTGATATGTCCATATTACTCCAACTATCACCAGTGCTGCTGGTGAACACATAGTGGAAAGCATTGATGTGGACAGGATGTCTTTTTACCATTATCTCATGAAAAATAGTAGGGGGGTGTATAAAAAAGATGGTAGGGTTGTCTTAGCACCAATGGCTCACTGTGGATGCAGCTACAACATTGGTGTCTGTTGCTATAAGAAGCATACTTTTTTTTCTAGTATAGGTCTGATTTCACCTCTCTGTAGAGGGATGTTTGTGTGTATGTGCATATGTGTGTATGTGTCTTAATTAAGATAAAATCCTGTGAAGAACTGAAAAAGAAAAACGAAGTGAAATTGAGGTGTTCTTCTTAGAATGCTCAGACTGTCCCATTCTGTTTCAAGTAGTACCAAACATGTTTTATTGGTATTTGTGAGTGGCAAGAATATTTGTGGGTAATATATTCTATTGGACCATATATAGTTGGATATCATAAAAATCCTTGACTCTCATATTTACTGGACTATCACAGCTACAGGGGGGCAGGCACAGGCACTGGGGGGACAAGGTATGTGGGGCAAG